ATCTTTCTTCTATCATTGACAGTCCCTCTAGGTTGTGGGCTGCTTGCCTGTGTTCCTGAGAAGCATCTACGGTACCAGTCTATAGAGTGTGTTTTCTTTAGTGAATTACCGGTATGTTTACCGGTAATAAACTTGCACTGTTTTATGTATATGTTTGATTACATACAGCCTTGTGACAGTTTTCCTGCATGTCATAAGCATTTGAATATAAATTAAAATGTTAAAATCAAATCTGATATTGTTTTACCTTTTATTTGGTGTGTGGAAGGTGTGCGGAAGAGGGGGTAGTCTTATACGGCGAGTATATAACAAACTCTGTATTTTGAGTGGAAATGTTAGGGGGTCGTCTTATACGCCCAGTCGTCTTATACGCCGGCAAATACGGTAATTAAGGTACCCAAAACTGGGCAGCCTCCAGTGTAAGCCTGGAACACCCATAGGCTTCTAATCTAGCAACCGAATACACCTACTTCCCTTTCCCAGTGGTTATCTTTGATGGGAGGCCCGCCCTTCACACATAATTATTTCTCCAAGCTATTACATTCTGTGAAGTGACGAGTACACCACCATCAAATGCATGAACAATAGGGACAATTTTCATAATTACTACTGTATACTTGTTGGAACATTTTTCTTAGAAGCCATGCATTTTAGGTATTGGCATTAAGGGAAGAATTAAGTATACTATGGGGTTTAACATGATGGCAGAACCAAGTTTAAGTTCACATGATTACATTAAACAGAAAATCCTATATTCTAAAGCTCCATTCTCTTTAATGATTACTGAGAACCGACAGGCCTTAAATGGTATTTCTAATCAAGGAGGAATATCCAATTCTAGAAACACTGTTTTATTATGTCCTGTCTCTGGTCTTTTCATCCATTTGCTCAGCTTTAATACCATCTAGATTATGACGAATCACAAATATTTAATTTCTAGCTCTGATTTTTCCCTCAACTTCAGACCTATATTGCTAACTGTCCTGAATAAACAAGCACCTCAACCTCTATTTGTTTAACCTGAAGTCATTAACTCCCTTTTCCTCCTTCCCTTGTGAGTATCACAGTGGTAAAAGCCTTCCTTTCTATCCTCATTCCCTACCTCATATTTAGTACCAAGTTGTACTGATTCAGCCACTTGAACATGACTCAAATCTGTCTCCTCCTTTCCATCCGTACGGCCAGTGGCTTAGCTCCAGGCCCTTATCACAGGATTTTACAAATGCTGACGAATAAGTCTAGGGGGTTGAAGCATGATAATGTCACTGAGCTCTCTTATTTCTGTACAGCATTTCACATCAATAGAACCCGTAGGTATTGCCTTCTTTCACTCTCACAACTCCTTCAGACTGATAAAAAAGTGTCATTCGCCTTGTTTTGCCAATAATCCTTCTGGGGTTCTGAGAAGTTCAATGCAACTGCCACACAGCTAGTAAGTGACTGTGCAAGATCATCCTAACCACGGAGTAGTAAGTTCCCTCTCTAGGCAATGGTTCCGAGAGAGGTTGATCAAAATTGCATGGTGAGGACTGACAGACATCAAATAGAACAGGGGCCTGGATGACATTTTGTAAGGTTCCTTTCAATTTTGAAACTCAGCTCTGGGTATGCCTCTCCAGTAGACAAAGCAGGCGTCTGGATCTCTCTCTGACAAAGTGCTACCCTCTCTCCCTTCTGACACTGTGCAGTGCAGCCCCCTAGCCCTCGGCCCACCCCTGAATTTCGTAAGCTTGATCTGCCATTCCGAGGGCAGCACCAAGCCAGCGAGGGCTCTGCTAGCTCTTCTGTCTAGCTTCAGAAGTCACTGTTTCACCGTGAAATGCTCTTGCCAAACAAGTTAAAATGAAATCAAAACAAGTTTCCAGAGACAACGTTCTAAGTAGATGAAATATGCAGGAAAGAGGAAGAAGTTAATTGACACTGAAAGCAAATAAACAGGCATCCAGAATGTGGGATATTCTAGAGGACAACTGATCTGATCTCTACAAGTTACTTTTTTTTGAGGGGGGGGGGGGGGGGGGGAAGAAGAAGAAGAAAGAGAGACAAAGACAGAGAGAGAGACAGACTGGTCCAGAATTAGATACTTAAGAGATAGAACAACTACTAATATATGTACTGTAAAGACATCCTAACTTATACAAACCAAGTGTTAAAAAAGGGGGGCATTTTAAGACAATCAAAGTACTCCATGAAATGGTATTTGTTATACCAAATAATTACTGTTAGTCATATTGATATACCAACAGCATTAAAATTATGCAATAAAATGTCCAAAATTTTCAGATGCATACAAACGTATGTAGCAATAAAATGGCACTGTCTTGGGTTTAAAAAGTATTTTGAAAGGAAAAAATAGACGAAGCAAACCTTGGCAATTACTGAATCTGGGTGCTGGGTTACAACAGCACCTTACACCGCACACTAGGTTCCTTACTTTAGTACACATTGGAACATTTTCAGAATAAAAAACTGTTTTCTGAATTCTTCTCCCAAGAGTCCTGTTCTGCAAAACAAGTAATTAGATTTAATGAGTTTTAACTGATAATGTTTGCTAAGGTTTGCTAATATTCCACCCTCTCCTACATACTTGATTTGAAAATTTTCAATTTCCAGGAGACAGTCACAGAAGGATGTCCAGAGACACAACAGATGAGTGACACATTTGGGTTTGGTTTCTGCATAAAGTTCCTGTTATTACCTCAGCCTTTACCAAGAAAACCCACAAGCTATTTTTGGTCCCAGGTCTTGGGTAGATAAGCTGATGACTAAAGCTGACTCTGTAAGTGCCTATGCTAACAGCCTGCGCTAGCCAGCAGCTGGGTGGAGCTCCTGAGAAGAAACCAAGCCAGAACCAAAGTCCAGAGAAAGGCTACCCAGAATGATGTTGGATCCATCTCCAACCTGTACTTGGCCAGATCGCACTTCTAACTAAACTGGCATGACGTGTTCCTTGGTGGAGAAACTTCCCAATGCACAGCAGGCTTTTTTAAGGAGTTGAACAAAACTTAGGCGAATATCCTAAGCAATCCGCCTACCACTGAGAACATACTGCTTAACAAGCCAGGCTCCCAGCAAGGGTCTACGCTGGATCCTTCCTACAACCCAGGAGCTGCAAGGCCAGTGCCTGAGAGTCTACAGAGAATAAGGAAGATGTGAGACTGGCTTCTTGGTCGGGCGGAAGAAAGAGTTAAGGAAACAGTTTGTAGCAAAACGGAAAAAGCAAAGAAAGAAACTAGCTACCTCTCTGAGAACAATATAAGACTAAGAAAAAGAGGAAACACAGTAAGCAAACAACTTAAAGAAATCCGAAATTTCAAGTGATGAAGACACCATTTTACTGTAAAAATCCAAAGTCTATTTTCAGCCCTCTTCCAGGTTCAAGCACAGGAAAAATCTCCCTCCTGGAAGGAAAAGTTACAAAGGGATGGAACTGAAAGTGCAATGCAAAGAAATTATGTCAAACACACTAAAGTAGTAGCCCATATGGTCCCCCCAATCAAATCCAGGAAACCAGTGTCTTCTATTTCTTATTGCATCAAAGAGCTTTGATGTAGGTAAACACTTTAAAAACCAAATCTTCTGCTAATTATTTCATGAAACTCCAATGATCTCCCAAGTTGAAATTACTCCAAGGTAAAGGTGAGGAGTAAGGAATGTTATGTGACCCTTATGGAAAGGTAGAGACAATGAGGAATGAAGTTCATGTTAAAGAAGGGCTTCTATGCTACTAGAGAAGATCAATATATTCTGCAAAATCTCCATTGTCTGAGAGAGGAGAATGCAAGGAGACAGGAAATGGCTCTGCTGTTACAGATTACCACCAAAGGAATTCATAGAAAGAAGGAAAAAATATCATTTCAAACTGAACTTTCCATCTAAGAGAAGGAAAAGCCATCTAAAAGCTCTTGGATCTGTGTCAAGGGAGAGAATGATATTTTAAAAATCTGGCAGGAAACCAAAGAGCTACACCCACATACAAAGCTTAACTGCTTCCAGCACACTAACTAGACCACATATTTCCCCAGCTGGGAAGCACTGACAGGATTGGGAAACCCTGAGAAGGGTGAGGCTGCCTGGCCATAGGGCTTAGTAACATTCCCAGATGAGGGTGGGGGGACTGGCCTGTGTTCTAAAGAAATTTTCACCTTTGGCCTTAGTCAAAGGACCCCTGGGCAAGAAGAGAAACAAACAAAAAGGGAAATTACAGTGAGGAGTGGTTTACCTTCGGAGAGCAGTTGAAATGCATACCAGGTACTGGGAGTGTAGTTACATACATTGTAATACACCGATACAGGTACAGCGTGCCAACTATGCAGAAAAATCTTCTGCTAATAATAGACCTGGAAAAAGGGAAAAACAGGGCAGACACTCAGTCATGAAATTCCGCAGGTTCATTTACTTTAAAGTTTTCAGTGACCCAATAAAGCAAACCCCAAAAAACTACTTGAGTGCTTGAAATCAGAATGCTACAACTACAGACTAGCAGGTTAGGTGGAGAATTTTGAGGTTGACGTGGTGTTTTTTTTTAAAAATATTAACTTGGTAAAAGAGTTTAAAACACTCTACATTGCTATTCATTAGGCTTCATGAGGCCTTAAACCTGAGTTGACATTCAACGGATGTATAAGTGGTGCCCATGCTGATTGGTCAGAGCCCACTTGGTACCTGTGGTTAAATGTTCAGGGTGCCTTTTCTGGAATAAAAGGGGGGGATTATTTACAAAATCAGAATGACATTAAAATGAGAATTCAAAACTTTTCTGACATTTAATGAGCCAACAATGTTAAACAATTTTATTTGAACATCTCAGAAACTGATTCTCTTAACTGATCTGAGTTAGCAGGATGCCAAGAAAAGAGCCTAAATAACAGCATCCTGCCCCATCTCCCTCTCTGTCTACTTTGTGGCCTTGGGATACGCTATGGAATTTCTGAGTCTCAGTTTCCTAAATTGTAAACCGGATATAACAACATTAGGAAAAACGTATGAAAACTCCCTGCCATACACACACAATGGTAGCCAACAAATGTACAGTTTAGATGGTGAGAAACAAAATAAGAATTAGAAATAGATCTTTTCCATTTTAAGTTGATTAATGGTTCTAATGAAATTATTTTTTACATACATGAGAACATGTATGTTGAGCCTGCTAATTCCTCCAAATAACAAATTCCACATAATGAGGTTTACTTTAATTATATTTCACTGTACAAACTTCGGTGTATGCTTGGATAAGAATGACCCTTCCCTCTATCTCAGTCCTGTGGGTCTCCTCTTCCTCAACTTGGTGGGGGCGGGGAGTCAAATTTTAACTTAGCATCAGCAACTTGCGTTAAATATACAAAGAAAAAGAAACAATGGACAGGCTTTCCTCTGAGGATATGGAATCTTGATTACTCTACAAATGTATAGTATAGTTCTATTTTTATGCTGAATAGATATTCCTACTGAAGAGTGCTAATTGGAGAATTTGCATCATTTGTATTTTTTATTTTAATAAGAGGAATGAAATGCTGTCACTTGTGTGATTAAAAATTAATCAAAAATAACCCATGCTGCCTGGCTGGTGTGGCTTAGTGGTGAGCGTCAATCTATGAACCAAGAGATCACAGTTTGATTTCTGGTTAGGGCACATTCCTGGTTTGCGGGCTTGATCCCCAGTGTAGGGTGAGGAGGAGGCAACCAATGAACGATTCTCTCTCCTCATTGATGTTTCTATCTCTCTCTCCCTCTCCTTTCCTCTCTAAAATCAATAAATCTGCCTAAAAGCAAGAAGAATTACTTAGCTCTCTTTGGTGTTGTAAATAAAAATTAACTCAGGAAAACAACCTATGGTTTTTGTTTTTTTGTGGGTTTTTTTTTTTTTTGCTTTCCCCTTATAATATTTATAATAATTTAAATGCCAAATTGCTTTAATTACTGAATTTAGGGTGAATCTATTTTCCCTACGATTCCTAGGACTATGCTAGTACTAGTATTTAGGTCTTGAGACCTATATTGGTAAAAATTAGAGAAGGTGAAAGCAGATAAGATCACCAATTCACCAAGAGTAAGAAGGGGATAGATAGAGCCTGGGACTGAATCTGTCACTAGCCCCTAGAGCATCGGTTCTCAACCTGTGGGTCGCGACCCCTTTGGGGGTCGAACGACCCTTTCACAAGGGTCGCCTAAGACCATCGGAAAACACATATATAATTACATATTGTTTTTGTGATTAATCACTATGCTGTAATTATGTTCAATTTGTAACAATGAAATTGGGGGTCACCACAACATGAGGAACTGTATTAAAGGGTCGCAGCATTAGGAAGGTTGAGAACTGCTGCTCTCGAGTGACTGCCCTTCCCTACTCCAAATACTGACCCTGGTGAAGGAGGTGAAAGACAGGCCCCCAAAAGCCTCACACATCCAGGCTGTATGGGAATGGGACAGGGAAGGTCCCCAGGAAAGGACAGAAAGCAGGCAGGCCCTCAGCCCAGGCTTCATAGCTCAGATGGAGGATGGGTCACAATTAATGGGAGAAGAGAGAACTTACTAGAGACAGAGCGGACAAGAATAAGGCGTGCATTCCTGGTCAGTATTTGGGGCTACTTCATGCATTTAATGACTGAACTTGGTGGCAAAGGAGGTTTCCCAGACTGGCAGAGAGGAGAACCCGTGTCACATGGAGAGTTATAGGAGGTTTCAGCACTCAGGATGGAAGAAAGTACGTTTTCTACACACTATGGTGGGATGCAAGATGTGATAGCTCTCAGGGTTGGCAGGTCCTTTCTGGGGCAAATGAGCATATGCCCCGGACGGTGTATGACACCTGAACCCTATTATCAACCATTGAGCTGCTCTGTCTTCATTCCATCTGTGCCACGCACACAGTGCCTGTGCCGCTCTATCTACTAAGATAACACGTTTTCAAAGATTGTTATACCAGGACCTAGACTGGATTTACACCAAAGTGCCTTCGATCCCCCAAATGTACCTGGGCAAGTCAACAACTTCTCTGAGTCTCACTTACCTTTACTGAGAGAGAATCACACTACTTATTTTGAGGGGTGATTGGATCAAATGCCACGATGCATGTAAAAAAAATTATCAGCTGGTTTGGAACCTGCCATTCCAGTAGGATGACAATGATTGTTGATAACATGGGTGAAAAACAGCAGAAGAAAACAGACTTTAATAAGCACCTAACAGACACAGCTACAGGTAGAGGGAGAAGCAAGAGGGCAAGAGATGCATCCTGAGTTCTTGCTTTTACTGCTGGAGAGGAGGACAACGCTTATCAGCCAATTAAATAAAGGGATAGATGCCCCCAAGTCTTCCATAACTCGAGGGAGTTTTATACTTGGATAGAGTTTGAACACCCACTTTCAAAAACTGAGATGTTAAAATGAAAACAAACAAATTCCTGAGAAGATAACCTCTCCGCAACTGTGGGTGTTTTGGCTTTGTTTGTTTGTTTGTTTGTTTTTGCTTGTTTCTGCATCCTTAGCATGCAGTCGTCAATAATTCTTGATAAGTAACTCAGTATGAAGATGCCCCGAAGCTCCATTAGAGACTTGTGGTCCACAGTATCAGGGCAATTTGTAATAAAATGACGCAGCTTTAAGGAAAGGTTCTTCTGGAACTTGGAAAATGAATTCTATTGAATAGGAATCTGGAGAGACCTGCTTCATATCAAATGCTCTATTACCAAGGGCTTTTAAGAACTCTACTAAATCACAACGATCAAAGACTTAAAAACAATGGGGGAAATGTTGACAATAACTGTGGTTATTAACCACCTTGGGATTAGAAGGGGAAGAGATAAGTATGTTGATCCAATCAACTTAATGTGAAAAGAAGCACTGATAGGATTACAATGGGATAAAATGCAAGATAAATGTCAGTGGAGAGTCCAAGACAAAAACCAAAAATAATCAAATCACCATCTAGAGCAGCAGTCCCAGGCAGCACAGGATTATGTTCTTGGAAATTAGATTGCATTCACAGAAGAGAGCTAAATGGTGTAGATAAACTTTCTTATGTTGGCAGAGAGGCACCTAACAAATAAGGCCTCCAAAGCCAGGGCTTTTATCAAAGGTAAAAATACAAAACGAAGCTTTTCCTAAGTGGTCTTTAAAGATGCGATACATACTGCTGCCAAACATCTGAACACCCATGGCAGGACTCTGAGTGCAGGCCCAGAAAAGCCACACTGGAAATCTGCACCTGCTCCTCTGTGGGGTAGCAAAGCCCCTACAACAGTTCTGAATACAGATACCATGACAGGTCTTACACAGGATCTGATACCAGTTTCCCTTCTTGGTTCCTTCTTTTTCCACATGGGATCAATTTGCAAAGAACCTACTCAGAGACTGTTCCACAGGTCTCTCCATAACTACAGGACTGTTCCCTGGAATAGAATGTTCTCAAGTGAAGTAAGTCTAGAGGACTCTGCATTTGTCCTATTTTCTGTCTGGACTGCCCTGACCCCAAACACCTATATGGTATTCACCCTCATTTGGAATAGAATGGAATGATATGAGCTTCAAGTATTTGAGGGAAACTGGGGAGTGAAGTAGCCAGAGATGACGCAGGTCAGATCGGAGACAGATTATGAAGAATCCAGAGCTTCATGCTAAAGAGTTGGGCCTCCATCTGAGCACCCACTATACATCAATAGGTAGGAATGAAAAGAAGTAGTGTTGTGGTCGCAAGTAGCTAGTTAATATTAACAAAGGAAAGAAAGCAAAGGGACTCAGACATTGTAAGCATGGTCACCTGGGAAGCTTCTCCAGGAAGCTACAGCTTCACACAGCATTGTTCTTCCACTGGACTAACACTCCTCCCTTCCCCATTTGGCACTGGATAGTTGCTGGGAGCAGGGGATAGGCACATGCGCAGTAAAGTCAGGTGGCACAAGGGCGGTGTCTGCCTGCCAGTCTACCTGGGAACAATGGATTGGCTAGGGAATGAACCCTATCAGAAGCTCACGAAATCTTGGAAAGTTAATTGTTTAGTTTGAAGAAGCTCCTGGTTAGGTGAGAACACCCACCCCCAACCCCCGACATAAAGTTCCCTTTCTCTTGTTCTCTCTCTCGCTCCCTCTTGCTCTGTAACCCGCACTCCCCAGTGCGTTCCGTGTTCTCTTCACAGCCAGGTGGCCTTAGAAACCAGATGGCCTGGCCATGCAGACTTCACATGCAGGATGCTGGACTGGACTTTAATGTGGAGCAGAAACTATGGGCAGGGCCTTACTCCTGGCCCTGCTGAAGACAAGATTGGACGTCTCCCATGGCAGGATGGGCAGAGATGGGACCTGGGAGGAGAAACTCCTTAATTTTACATCAATAAAACTTTCCACAAAACCCCATCCTCCCGTGGAAGCCTCAGGAAATTCTCTTCCTTGCAGGGCCCGAAGAGCTCCACTTCCACCAATAACAGTAATAAATCTGAAATTAGAATCAATAGAACTCAGCATTTGTATAAAAGAAACTGAGAAGTTCTAGGTGTTTAGGAAATGTCTCTTGCCTAAAGTTGGAAAAAAACAAATGATAAACCCAGTTAGACTAGTATGAGGGTCTAAGACCATCATACTAAGTAAGTCACAGTGATTTCTCTGGTGGCTACAAAACCTTGGACTTAGAAGTTCTACAATCCTGATCGTTGGCCTTCTTCACCAGGCGTTCTCACCATCCCACTAGCCCCGCCTGTCACCATGTGGTAGCCATGATTTAGCCATGCATGGAAAGTCCTTACTGAGTCTGTAAGGTTAACAGTCTTGTTCATGCTTTCTTAAAACCAGGGATTCCTGATTTGGGTGAAGTCTGACACATCGATTGGTTGCCTCCTGCTCGCACTCTGCAACCCAGGTACATGCCCATGACCGGGAATCAACCTGCGACCCTCAGGTGCACATGCCAACATTCTAACCACTGAGAGCACCGGCCAGGGCTAGGCTGATTGTTCTTAAAGGGCTCCACGACTCTTAAAATCAAAGTAAAATTCCCCTGTACAATTACTGGCCAAACAGGCTCACCTTCGAGGAGTCATGACAAACCTCCTGGTTGGGGTTGGGGAAAAGGTTCGAGAGCCAGAACAGTCGAGCAGAAAAAGAGGGAGAGCTGAACTCCCTTTTAACACAATACTCCGTACTCAGAAGTCTCCATTTCCCCGCCATTCTGGATAAACAAAACTGCTACATAGCACCAGCAAATAACCAGAAACAAGGGGTCTCTGACATGACCGAGCATGAGAGCTGAGAAGGCGGTATGTCAATACCCACTGCATCTGTCCCGCTACCTCCTCCATGTCTGGTGAGCCACATACACTGAAGGCAGATCTCAGGGAGGCCGATGGGAACCCAGGGATACACCCCAGTGGGAGGACAGGGGGTGGGGCTGTTTAGGATTATCTTGAGAACAGGCGGCTTCCATTTCCCATGTCCTTTTCCTGTCAACGTGGAAATTAGAGAGAGCACTTTAAAGAATCCTTAGTTACATGTCTTCTGGACACAACACTGCAGCTAGTAATAATCTAACATAGCTGGCCCAGTCAATCACATTAGAACAAAATAAAACGCAATTGCATAGAACATCAGAAATCATCTGACCTGAGAGGCTCCTGTGAGAAAAAGTCACCCACAGCACCCAGCATGTCAGGGCTGGGCTGGAACCCAGGCTGCCTGTGGCCAGCACTGGGCTAATCTGGTCCAAGTTACAAATCAACTGATTTATTGCTACTGAGCAATGCAAATATACAAGTGACTACAGTATTGGCAATAAGTACTAAGAAAACGAGAAATTAGAAAGCTTAAAGCAAAACAGATATGAGGGGAAGTCCCTGCTGAGAGAAATATAAACAGTGGTATAGGTTAAAGAAATTAACCCTATGGTCAGGATACTTCCTTAGAACAAGAGTAAATTATTTAAAAGTCACAGTTTTGTGAAAGTTTTGGAGTCATGCCTGGTATGACTTAACTAAGGTTATATTCTGGGTCAGTAAATTATTTGCTTGCATGTAAAATATTGATGGAAAACCAGAAAACAAGCTCTCATAAACGAAACAACAAACATTGAGAAAAATCTTAGAAAACATAATGCAGTTGACTTTGACTTTTAAAGAAAAAATACTGGCATATTTCTAATGTGCTCGTAGGAAAAGAAGTTTAGAAGATAAAAGTCAAATGCAGAAACTGAAGTTTGGCAGCCAAAAGAGTGTAATTAATAAATTGGAAGCATCTCATATTTCTAAAGCTTATTCCTATCAATTTAGTCTCTTAAAACTAAAGCAAACAAAAAAAGGTCTTCCATCAAATCAAATGCAGCCCACATCATCATTTCTATTTCCAATTTAGCTAAAACTCTAGGATTGCCAAACCAGCCCCAAAACAAACACTGGCCACTTAAACTGCTTCCTTTACACAAGTTAAGAGAGTTCTTTCCTGGCTGAGTCAGAAACGGCTTTTACTTCCACTTGCATCTATGTAATTTATAAGCTGATAAAACACAGTCCTTCAGGAACATACCAGGAAAACAGTCATCATTTCTGCTAGGTCAGGTTCAAACCCTGTCTGCATTTTGTTTTCCTGATTTAAGATGATTTTCTTAATATTCATCCATCCTGTGGGTCATGAAACACAGCCCACTACAGAGAAACTCAGTTCCTTAACAAACCAGTTTTTAACTCCCATGCACGGAAGCCATAAAGATGTTCAAGTAATAGGAAAATCACACACCAGTGACGAGGGCGGTGTTTCGTTTGCTATGCATCCCAAGCAAACAGCTTGCCTGAGGGGGTCTATGCTGAGTTTAGAGCTAGGGACATGAAAGCCACTTTAGATATACTGGAAACTAAAAGAAGGCGCCTACTAAAATCTTGAGAAATGTGAATGGAAAACCACATATTGCTGTAGTTGCCACACCTTCTAGAAGGTGAAAAGCCACGCAGGCTCATCTGCATTGCGCCTACCTAAACAAAGTCATTCCCTGAGAGTATTATTTTCCCAATAGCCCAAGCCACTCTGGAATAGCTGTTCTGAATTTTATATGTGAAGCCTCCATAAATATGCATTGCTAAGGTACCAGATGTCTGACTCTGCTTGGGAAAAGCTATACAGCCATTCACGGTGCTTAGGCCAACTGTTAACAATTTATTTGATGGGCTAACACCACCAAGACTGGATGGTTTTTCTGTGGTCCAATAGCCTATGTGTACTCTCTGAAGGTGCCTGAGGGTTTTCTTTCCTGTGAAGTGAAAACAGAACAGTCTCTCTTCACCATTCTGTACAAATCTTGTACAAAACAAGCAATAGACATGGCGTTTTCTTAAAGCTGCCAGAGCTTTAGTTGGGTATGTGGCTTTAAAAATGGGGGAATAATATGCTTTGATTGCCATTGCTTGGTAAATTGCACTCCCAAATAATGAGAATTAGACATCCACAGGGCAAATGCCTCAGTCACTGAGTCTGAGAGCTTTTGCTTTACTTACTTGTATTTTAAGAGCAGCCACTGAACTAACCAGAGTCCTACAAGGATCATGCCGTTAATTTCACAAATAGAAAAGGCCCACTGCACCCGGTTAAAATGGTCAAAAAACGTGTCCGGTAGTGGAGGCTGCACCTCCTTAGGAGGTACTCGTTCATGGACGACCGAGATCATCACTGTGGTGAGAACGAAACAGCAAAGTGCATAAAGAAAGGCCTGAAGAGTCTTGCCCCACTCCATTGGGTACTGGGAGCGCTCCAGTTCCGGCATGGGGATCTTTATCATCTCTTTCCTATACCCATTTGGCATCCCGTTGGGTTTGACCTTGATGCTGAATCTGCCGTCAGGGGTGGGGACGTCTGTGCCAATGCTGAGGTGCCCGTTGGCATGGCCGTTCTTGTGTACTTCCATGTGGTGCTCCATTTTCAAGGTCTCTATCATGTCCAAGAGCCGCTGCCCGTTGTCGGAGGAGACTCGGCACAAGGGGGGTTTTGTGAAATCCTCTTGGGTCAGGTTGATCAAGTCCCGGCCCGTGAAATGTTCCAGAGGCTCACAGTATTCTGGCATAGCATTCTCCAGCAGCCAGTCTGTCACCTTTTTGGGTGACCAATAAACCACTTCCTTCATTGTACTGGCAGACAACAGGCAGTCCCCTGCTTGCTCTCGGCAGGTCAGCAGTCCGAGTTTTTCCGGAGCAGGATGCTGGCCCTCGAAGGCGTGCTCATCCTGTCAGGCCTCATGACAGGGACTTGGGTAGAATGGTGGTCAGGGCAGTTTTTAAACACCTCATGTAGCTGTCCAGGGTTCTTGAGTACCCGAGCATGTGTTCACCTCATTTTTCAACAAGATTCTTCCTTCTGTGGAGGCAAGAGAAAAGGTCAAGATATTGGGACTTCCGAATCAACCCCCTCAAAATGCAAAACCTTGATAAGCATAAGGAAAATGAAAATCCAGTTACCGATACAGCCTCTAGTTTTCAAACATGTATTAGTCTAAGGCAGTGGTTCTCAACCTTCTGGCCCTTTAAATACAGTTCCTCATGTTGTGACCCAACCATAAAATTATTTTCGTTGCTACCTCATAACTGTCATGTTGCTACTGTTATGAATTGTAATGTAAATATCTGATATGCAGGATGGTCTTGGGTGACCCCTGTGAAAGGGTCGTTCGACCACCAAAGGGGTCGCGACCCACAGGTTGAGAACCGCTGGACTCTAAGGGACCACTGATTCCCTGGTTGGTCTTCCCTGAAAGAGCATTAAAAGGGCCTAAGGATGGATAAAGTCAAAGGGGAAATGTTTTACAGCCTCCATAATGGGTCTTTTCTAAGAAATCATTCATTGTGCTGTGGACACTGCTCAGTGTGGATCAGTGGTTCTCTGGGACAAGCTGAATGAATGTGGCAGGTGGGCTGAGCCTATCATTCTCCTGGTGAAGAAGTGTTCTAAAAGGCACATAACACAGCAACTTAACAGATACGATAGAAATGTTCAGCTTCAAGACAGTTTGGGCCAACATTTATATTTTTTCACACAAAGAAAATCAATGGATCCCTGTTTCCACATGTGCTCGGATGCCCCAATCTATAGAAGAGCTACAGATGCAGCTGCTGAGATGAAACACAGGCGGGTGAAGGGCCAGGGTCTTCCCGGCTCTGGCGACCTTTCTATTCCCAGCCCAGAGGGTGTTTCCTGGAATCCCAGTTGTAAAATCAATGATCTGATTCAACTCCCTCATTTATAAACTTGGAAACGAAACTCCAGGAAGGTCAAGAAACCTGCCCTTGATTAAATGGCAGCTTGCATCCAAGAGCTGTAAGTTTCATTTCTGAGTCCTGTAGTTCAAAACACTATTTATTAAAATACTTATGTGGCGATAACCAATTCACATCTGCAGGGGAGAGTCAAAAGCAAGATTCAAAACTTTATAAATGTATGTAAGTATCAATGTGAATTTACATATAAATAATATACCTACTCTTACTTAAACTCAGCGATGATTAATGAACATATTGCATAAAGGTGGGAAAAAATACATCACATATTAACTGAAATTATATTTGATGAGAGGCCTGGGGGCATTTTCTACTTTTCTCCCATCTATTTTTCTTTAATAAGCATGTACGACTTTTGTAACTATCATTTAAAATTGGAAAGCAAGTGAAAGGACTAAAGTTTTGCTACCCTGAAGCTGCCTTTTTGGGATATTGATTTTAAGCTGTTTATTAAGAAACAAGACTCAGAAAGAACCTCTGACCTTCCTCTCTTTCCTGCCCAAGAGATTCAGACAGAGAAGTGTGCTTCAGGAAGAAATCTTAGCATGTTCACTGTAGCCTAATTTGAATTAAGTGTGATAATTAGGAATGCTTCAGGCAGGGCCTGTTAGCTAGATATCCCCTGTGTCTCATTGTTTCTGAGTCGCTCAGCAAGAATTCACCTGCCGGGAGTGTTCCCTTCTCCCTCAAAAACCTGTAAATTACCCACTGTCACTTCTGAAATATAATATCTCCTCCCACCCTCTTCTCCTTTGTCCAAATTGCCGCATCTCCCCAATGTTGCCTCACTGTCTCTGGAGTTTTCATGCCTATGTGAATTCCCCATGGGCATGTGTTAAACACTTGATTTTCTCCTGTTAATCTGTCTCTGTTGATTTGATTATCAGCCTAGCCGAGAAGTTAGAAGCAAAACATTAATTTTTTTTAGTTCCCACACAAGAAACGTTAAAAATAAATACCTAGCTCTATAACAAAGCCTTGTTCCCCACGTAGCATGGCCTTTGGCTGAAGACAGACCATGGTTTGACTCTCAGCCTCTCTCATGCATAGCCCATTAGGTGAGCTTCAGTTATCTATCTATCTATCTATCAATCTATTTGAGGGTGAGAGAAACATCGATGTGAGGGAGAAACATCAATCGGTTGCCTCCTGCATTAAGGCTCTCCCGCTCCCCACCCCAAGAACTCCTATTTGCTCCCTAGGGAGCACAAACAAGACCTGAACTCAGGTCTCCTGATTTCAAAGACCAAACTCATCGCTGCTGACCCCCCAAATCTGACTCTGGAATAGTGATGGACCGTATGTCCACTCCCGATTTCCCCATCTGAATAACAACCAGTCAAATGGCAGTAAAACTGAAAGACATTCCAGACCTTGCAAAAGAGTTGGGCATTCCCTCTCCTGAGCATCCACCCCAGTGCTGTGCGCCTTCCCTCTGACACTCCCCTGTGGTGTCTGTCCAGACTCCCCCAGGAGCCTATGAGTGACTGCGGAAGAGCTTCAGTCTGAAGGATCCCCGTCTCACATGCCCAGGGCTCAGAATGTGCTCGATCGATATCTGCGCAATAACTCAGGAAATAAATGTTCCTTGCGTGGTTTAATGGAAAATAATGCTACGGAGAATGTCAGTGACATTGAAAGGGCTTTAGGACGATTTGGGTAGCCGGGGAGAATCAGGCGGGCAGTCTCCGGAGAGAAACAGGACACCCGGAGAAGCTCCGACCACGGGGAAAGCACTACACAGGAGCTGCGGCCGCCGCCAGTGCTGCCTGGAGAGGCCAGAAGGCACACAGGCCACGTGGGCGCCCTGGCAGAGGTCCTGCAGGCAAGGGATCTCCCGGCGTCAGACTCCAGGCTTCTCCCCAAATCCTCCTCAGCAGAATTAGGGTAACAGCCAAGGAACCCTCAACATCTGCAAGCGGCTATAAGAACTCTAAAGAAAAATTCTCGACGGAACGTTCATGCCCAAGGACATGAACGTGGGCTTTCCCCCTTGTCCAATGCAGGAAGTCTGCCAGGAGGGGAAACCCCTTCAGAACCACAAAGATCGGACCAATGCCACGGTGTTATTTCACTTCTTTCTGACAGGGGAACAGTCAGATAATCTCCTCTTAAGAGATAACACTGTAATCTTTAAAAAAGAAAAAAATATCAAGTGGTAAGAGACAATCTAGGGCCATCAGACACAAACACGCACGCACGCACGCACGCACATACTCTTCCTGGCATTGCAAGCCTCCACCCAAACGAAGGACACTGATCTTGCAAAGGCAAGTCCATAGGCAGTTCCCAATAGCCAGAGGAACTCTTCAGTGACAGCAAGGAAAGTAAATGGCTCCCGATAATAACTAGGACAACAAAACTGCTCACTCCTTAGGAGAGGTCCTGCAGGCAAGGGATCTCCCGGCGTCAGACTCCAGGCTTCTCCCCAAATACTCCTCAGCAGAATTAGGGTAACAGCCAAGGAACCCTCAACATCTGCAAGCGGCTACAAGAACTCTAAAGAAAAATTCTTGACGGAACGTTCATGCCCAAGGACATGAACGTCCCTCGTGTTGGAGTTCTCCATTTCCTCCTCTTCAGCAAGGCCAGGCTCTTCCCTTGGACCTTTGCAGAACCTTCCACTTCACCATCCTTTTCCCTGCTCGGCTTCCTGCATCACTAACATCTGTGACACGTGATATAATTTAACCCTCAGGTGTGCGTGGTGTGGGAGAAAGAGCACCAGCTGTGTGAGTTACAGAGCCAGCAGCTGAGACCCAACTCAGCTACTTCCCTTCCTGACAAGGTCCTTTAACCTCTATACGCCTCAGTTGCCTCTGGAACAGTGGTTCTCAACCTTCTGCCCCTTTAAATAAAGTTCCTCATGTTGTGACCCAACCATAAAATTATTTTCGTTGCTACTTCATAACTGTAATGTTGCTACTGTTATGAATTGTAATGTAAATATCTGATATGCAGGCGACCCCTGTGAAAGGGTCGTTCGACTGCCAAAGGGGTCGCGACCCACAGGTTGAGAACCACTGCTCTGGAAAGTAGTATTACCAACTACCTACCTACACATCTTCACGGGGGCTGCTACTGCTCTGACAAACCAATCATGTAAAAGGAATAAAAGATATAAGTTACTCCAAGAAACTGTCTTGTTCTTTTCATAATGCCCTGCTTCCTTTCTAATGCCCAACTGGGTCATAGTGACATGTCATAAATATTTACTGAAGCTGCCACTTCCAAAGGGCATTTTAAATGCCCAATCGTTCTGATACAAGAATAAAAACAGCCCTCCAAATTCCATGAGAAAACAACCCTGTATTTTTCAAGCAACTTTGAAGCTTGAAAATAAAGATATGCGTGCTGTGTTCCTGCAGCTGATGCTGAAATGGTACAAAAGGGGGAAAGCTCACTTTAGGGAAGTAAACCTTGAACAGCTACTCAGCACTTCAAAGGCCACTGCAAAAAAGGTGTGGACTTAGAGACCCCAGAGCCCAGCTGTCGAAGGAGAAGTGAGACAGTGACTCTGCCCTGGACTCACACACTCAGTTTAGAACATACTGTGGCAAAGTGCCTTCACATCTAGACCCAAAAGACTGTATCTTTGGCTGGGCTCAGAAAACAGCTACTACTGCCATCATTCAGAAAAGCCACTCAGAATCCAAAGCCAGGAGAATGTTAAGAAATAGCACAGATCTTGCCCTGGCCTGTTTGACTCCATGGTTGGAACATCGGCCTGTGCACAGATGTGTTACCCAGTGCAGGGTGTGTGGTGAAGGCAACCAACTGATGTGTCTCTCTCATGTTGATGTTTCTCTCTCTCTCTGTTTCTCTCTCTCTCTCTCTCCCTTTCTCTCTCTCTCTCTCTCTCCCTCTCTCTCTCTTTTTCTCTCTCTCTCTCCCTCTCACTCCCTCCCTCTCTCTCCAACCTTTCCACTCTCTCTAAAAACCAATGGAAAAAATACATCCTTGGGTGAGGGTTAACAAAAAGAAAAAAAGAGAAAGAAAAGAAAAAAACACACAGCTCAAATCATTAGACACATTTCTCAGAACCGGGAAGAAGTAAAAGAAGAGTAAAAATTGTATCTAAAC